GCTGGAGAGTGCGGACCATTGTCGCGCTTTAATCACTGCCTCAGACTCTGGTACTGGATCGCCCTGATCAATAATTTAGAAGGCTGTCAGAGGACAGAGGGGGCGGGACCGCCTTACAGGAAAGGCAAGTCCTTATGGAGCCAGGCAGGAGCTAGGAGCTGAACTGTGGAGCCTGGCCCACAAATCCTCACTCTGGGCTCTTGCCTTAGAGAGGGCACCAGATCCCAGAACATGGGGATCAGGGACACTGGCCAATTTTTATATTTTAAGTGACTTTGGAGAAGTTAAGAGAAGGAGAAACTTGCAGTTGGGACCAAATGGGGCCAAGCAGAGTGTTTTTATCTCCGCCAGAAAAAGCCAGGAGGCAAAGGTGTTTGTTAAGACTCTGGGAAGTGGTGGTATCTCCAGTCTGTCAAAGTTACTGGAAAAGTGTATATGTGTGTGTGTGGGGGGGAGATAAGTCACAATGATGGGGGGGTGAGGGATTTAGAAAGAGCCGAGACATCTAGGGAAAACAGACAGATGGCAAATCAAAAACTAAAAACCACAGAGAAACAAGAGAAGCATCAAGAACTGGGTGCTAGGGACAGAAATGGAACACGGGACCCAAGAGGATGAGAAGAACAGGGGTATTCCAGTAAACCCAGAGAAAGTCCACACTTCTGTATTCAGAGAACTCTTTTTGAACAGGAACAGAGACACAGAGATAAAGGTGGGGGGAGGAAAAAGAAAGGAAGAAAGAAAATAACAGAAAGAGGAGGGAAAGGCTAGAGGGAGGGAAAGGAAAGAGGTGCTGTTCTCTACCCTGTTATCCAGCACAGAGGTCTGTGCTTGTACTGGGTAACTTTTCAAGGATGCTAACTAACCCTTCCTCAAAGGACCAAGCCAAGAGCTCAGGGAGAACCAAGCTCTCCCAGCAAGTTTTGGGAAACAGGAGGTAAGGGAGACCTGGAACTCAGGCTCTGTCTAAGATAGAAAGCTAAAGTGTACAGCGGGGAGGGGGTGTGGGGGGGGAGTGGATGAAGTAGACCTAAACTCTCTGTGTGTTGTTGTGCTGGATGGGAGGGGACCTGAAGTGTTAAGACACACCAGGTGTCCAGAGAGAGGCCAGGCTGGACTGACAATAAAAAAATCCTGTCCCCCCCCATCCCAGCCCCACCCCACCAGAGAACAGGAAAGGAGAATGAGAATCCTACAGTCTGCTCTAGGCATTTTTCAAAGTGTATCAGTGTCAAAGGGACTGAGATCCTAGGATTAAATCAGCCGGGACATCAGGCCCCAAAGAGACATTTCAGCCCTGCCAGGCTACCAAGAACTTCCGTGGAAAAGTGAACATCTTGACTTCTCCCAAATTCATCATCAGGTCCCATGCCCTCCAGCCATCAAGATACCCAATGTAGAGACGCCTCGAACTGAATAGAGCTGTGTGGTGAACGGAAGCAAAGGTTTAAGTAGGCATAAGAGTATTAACAGTGTAACCAGCGTGTCTCACCCGAGTCCAGCCAGACCTCACACAAGCAAAGGGACTTTCTAGAGCAGTTACCTAGCCAACCACACTGCTTACACCCCATCCTTTCCCTCTCCCCCCTCCCTCTCTCTTAAATTTCAGATAAACACCACTCGGTCACAAAAGGGTCAGTGTGTCTGTCCCCTTTAAAGTATGAGGCAGGAAGTGCCACACGTTAACTGGGATACGGCAGAGGCGCCTTCCCATTTCTCTGGCTTGCCGATGCCTGCTGGGCCAGTTGGCTGAGGCGTGTAATCCCCTTCTCGTCCCTATTCCCACTTTTGAAGCCCCATATCTCCTTTTTTGCCTCAGAAGCTGCCGGCATTACAGTGTTGTTGTTGCTGTTTTTTAAAATCTTGTTAAAAAATCCCAGGCCCTAGAGTGGAAAGGAAAAAGTCCTACTGAAAAAAAAAAGCCAGAGAATATTTCTATTAGGGACACTGGATTGCCATCTTTCACCCAGTTCCCGATTTTGTTGGAAAGACTGGCTAAAAGTCAATCAAGGGGTCTAGAAGCGGAACCGGCCTACACCGAGGGTCAGAAGCTGGAGGCTCACGAGGGGGCCCGAGGCGCGCTAACCTTGCAGCTTTCTCCAGGAGGCCCAGGCCTGCCACAAGCCTAAAGGAAGACTCTGGCCAATGTTTAACTCTAATGCAGTGGCCACCAGGCCCCTTTTGTTTGTTCGCAAATTAATCACCCAGCGCAAGGCCGGCGCCAGAGTGGGTTTATCACCCACCAGGAGGGGGGTGCGGCGGGCACGCAACGACGAAGAAGAGTTCGCACCTTCCGGCTTTTGATCCTGGCTTCGCTCCGGCCTCCCTTGCAGAACACGAGCCTCCAGGGGTAGCGTCTGGGAGGTCAGTCGTAATTGGCGGAAGTTTGTAGACCATTAGCAACATGTAGACATTTTCGATTCTGAATCCCGCAAAAACTTTCCTCGGCCCACACCCCCGCCCCCCCTTTCCCTGGCGCACTGGAGTGAGGGGTGGAAGCCAGAAGTGGCAAACTGGTGTGACCCCAGGGTTAAGTTAGAGCTACAGTCAAAACTAGGCAACTGAAGGGTGTTTGTGTGTGGGGTGATGTGAAGGTCAGAAATTGCTCTGGCTCCAACGCTGGAGCCAAAAAGCAAGGCCAGATATTTGCATGCAAAGTCAGCGAGCTCGCCTCGCGTTTGCAGAGCAGACCCCTGAGGCCAGAACGCTGGGTACCGGTTGCCAAGGTCTCTCTGGCTGGCCTGTGGACCCTCAGGGCACCGCGTGGATGACCACGGGGTCAAACACGCTGCATTTGCACAATGCTTCCTGCAGTCCACGCGGGAGCGCACAGATTAACCGACCAATGCCGGTAAAGCAGATCTGGGTTCTAGGGCTACTCTGGTTAGAGTGGGTAAGCAAGGAGGGGGAGGGGGGCCTTCTGCCTGCAGAGGATCTGCGCTGACCTCGGTGGCCCGTGCTGAGAGGGCCCTGGCCTGGCCTCTTGCACTCTCGGCAATGTGGAACAGGGCCCTGGGGAAGGGGTTTTGGGAGCCACCGCCTTGGGTACCACCTCCTGTTTCGTTTCTCTCCCTCTTTCTCCCTCAACCGTGAACACGCGAAGTCAGAGGATGGGAAAGCAAGGGGCGAGATGGTCACACCAAGTTCAGAGAATGACTCTATGCTCATTGGCCGCACCAGGGAAAGCTCAGGGCTGGCGCCAAACGCTCTTAACGTTGTACATCAAAACATGTAAGACTGGAAAAGCTCGTGGCCTCAAATGTCCTCCCCTACCTGGGAGAGGGAACTGCCTATTCATCCAGTAGCTGCTAGTTTAGACCTGCAGTTGGAAATGGGGTCCTGGGTGAGGAGTGTGTGTGTGTGTGTGTGTGTGTGTGTGTGTGTGTGTGGCGGGGGAGGTCCTCAAGGAAAAAAATCTAGGCGCAAATGGTCCACACGGAAACATTCAAAGCTTAATCTCTAGGCCCAGAAACCAGCCCCGTTTCTGCTCTCTTTCCAAGCAAAGGTCTTATCCCAGGAAAACTAAAAATTCTGCTAAGATTGTCCTCCATTTAAACTGGAATGCTCCCGCTCACACCTCTACCCACAAACCAAGGACAGCAGGTTTTGGGGGGAGTCCTACAGGGTCACCCAACCAAAGTCTGATCAGTCAGTTGGGCTTCCTCCCCATCCTAGGATGAGCGGGGACCGAAGCCTCAGGACTTCTGGGGTAAGGGGGTGCGTTTCACGGGTTGTTTTACAAATTCGCCCCCACGTCTGCTACGATTAAGTCCCTGGGGTAGAGAAGGACCGGAGGCACCCAGAGATAAGCGTGATGCCTGGGGAAGATATGAAACTGGTGCACCTCCCCCAACCAGCTCTCCCAGTCCATAGCGGCAGCTCCCCACCGAGCTGGACCGGAGGTGAGGGTAAAGGCTTGGAGGAGCCAGGCCTGCGGGTCGGGGCACTCACTTGTTTTAGCCGCTTCGTTCTCTCCACACCCACACCCCTATCTGGGTGGAACACCAGTGTCCGCATCCGAATGGAAGAGGAACTGGGCTCAAAAGGGTCAGTAAATGCATTTAAAAAAGAAAGAAAGAAAGAAAG